CCCCAAAACCCCAAAACCCCAAAACCCCAAAACCCCAAAACCCCATGGGTATATTTGGGATTTGAAAGATAGAATTATTGTTAATATTTGGCAGAAAATAAGGAAATCACTTCTTGGAGCTCGCTGATCTCACTAGTAATCAAAAATTTCACTTTCTATAAAATGTTCAAAAACTCTTCTTACCATCCTTAATATCTTTGATCAACTCAACAAGTTCTTGCTCTCATTTTCCCCTTCTAATATCCTTGACAACCACTCTCTGAATATCCCCTAGAACATCTTTTTCACCTTCTAAAAGCTCATCCAACTTATCCAATAAATGCTTGTTCACTTTTCCTCTAATCTGCCTATGAATCTCCTTCATATGCTCATCCCACGAATGATCCCAGCCAACCTCAAGTGTGCACACTAAACAATCAATCTCTACCTTACAGATCGAATCAACAGTAATTCTAAAATGATCTTCATACTTCTTCTGCAGCTGCCTAAACCCCATCAAACAAGATCTCTTCCTAAAACCCTACCTCGCCTGCTGTTTCACTGACAACTTCAGGTCTGTTAGTCAACTCTCCTTCCTCTCCTCGTTCATCTTCTGAAGAATGAACTCCCAAGTAGGCTCTGGGTGGTTAACGATCAAGCTATGAACACGGATGAAATCAGGAGTTGTGAATCTGGTCAGGGATGGGCGAGGTTCTGGCTGGCTGTGGGTTAGTGAGGGGGGTTACTTGGGAGGGATTAAGCTGGGAGTGGAGGTTTCTGACTGGGAAAGGGTGGTTTTGAGGATTTGGGTGTCTGATAAGGGAGGGAATTTGCCTGTAGAGGATGGAAGGTGAGGAGAGAAGGCGTGGGAGGATTGGGATTTTGGTCAGGGGGGTTGTAAGTAAGCGAAATTAAGACAGGAAAGTGGGAATTGCTTAGGTTGTAGGGGGATTTACTAACCTTCTTATGAATTAGTAAAAATACTAACTTTATTAAAACCTTTACGCCATGCAACATCCTGTCATTAAGAATGTGCATAGTGGTATGAACAAGGACAGTTTGCTTTAGCAAGATTTGTGTCAGAAAAGAACCAGATTTAGCGAATTTTAGAAGTTCAATGGTAAATATATTTGAAGATATGAACTTTTAAAGTGGAAGATTAAGGAGTAAGTCGATTTTTGAATATTTCTGTCTGAGTGAAAAAATTCTAGGAATTGGTGTTTTGTTGAAGATAATGTATAGGATAACAATTGGAATATAAACTCTTTGGTAGAGCTTTTCTTAGATGAGGAAATTATATGATTTTTTCAATCAAACCAATGAATTTCAAACAACTCCGGATGTTATAAAGGTCGATTCAAACTACAATTCCTTTGCTATTACTAAATTTATATCTACAACAAGACTAGAATTTTATTGAACTAAAATCCAATGGCATTCTCTAATATAAGAAATGAATTAATCCAAACTTTAGCTCATACCATTTATCTTACCTCTGATTCTCTTCTAAATTTTTAGGAAAATATACCTTAAATTTCTGTGTAGTTGATGAATTTCCCATAATTTTGATGTGTTCGCTTTGAATTTGGTCAATGCTTCCTCTGAATGAATTCTGCTTTCCCTCTTCATGCTTATTTTGATGAGTAAAGAGACTCTGAATATTCAGAAGATTCGTTGACTAGGTTTATTAGTGCATTTCTGGAGTCTATGTAAGTCTTTAGAAGGTATTTTATTTAGTGAGGTTAAAGAGAATTTAAGGGATAATCTAGTAGATGATGAAGAATGAGCTTTGTAAGAGTGAAAAGCATTGTGAAATTTTACATTTGGTTGGCTGCTCTTGATCCAAAAGAAGAGGTGTAACTTCTCCTCGTGTTTTAGGGAGAGAAGGTTCAGCTCGAGGACCTTGATTTGAACCTTCTATAGGTTTGCCTAGACATCAGCCCATTTCTTTAATCAAAATAATATTATAAACTTCAACTCATTTTTAGTGTCTTGGGGTTTTGGGGTTTTGGGGTTTTGGGG